GTTTCATCAAGCTCTTATAGCACATGTACTGAGATTGTCGTTATCTCAGCAAAAGGGACAAGGGAAAGTTCAAGTGCAAGCAGTTCATACATGGAAACTTCCCATCAAGCCTGTGAAGAGAAACTGGAAATATCACACTACAAATTCCAAGTAAGTCGTTTCCACTAGTGTTGATTCTTCACCTCACGGTTTACTATGAAAACGGAGCGCAAGCTGTCCAACCACAGAAGCTTCCCGCACATGCTCACGACGGAAGACACGTAATTCGCGCCATACAGTGGCGCGCATTTCCTCTAACCTCAATCTTAGGCATGTGCTCACTCACACGGCCCACTATTTAAAGCAACTGCAACACGTGTTAATATTACGACACAAACAAGAATTGTAGTGTTCTTTCAGAACATAACAGACTATCATAACCTCTCAAGTGGTAATATTCAATAGTTTATAACCTATCTCTTTTCATAGTAAATCATAATCTCATCAGTTACATCCAGAGAATAAGGAATTTATCATCCTCTAGTTCACCAATAAAAGTATATCACAACGCCACATAATCACACGTCATTTGTAATCTCATCACAATTAATCATCCCAAAATTGGAAATAAATTTAAAATAAATGGAACAAACAACAGTAAGAATTATATGTATTAATTATTGAATCAGTGCATTAACCCTTCCACTTGCCCACGCATTCTCCCACACAACATCCAGTGGTTTTCTAAGTTAATTCTACGCGTTTGGTTCCTGAGCCGGATTAGTGGAATTAATTTTTATACAATGACAAATATATATTTTAGAAATTTTCTTTCATTTTTATCTTATTAATCTATAAATTACCGAAGTTCCAAATAGCAGTTTGTTGTAAAGATTAAAATAAAATAATATTTTATAAAATAATAATAATAAATAATAATAAAATATTATTTGATTTTAATACTATGAACTATTTGTTTTTTTATCTCTTTTTTCGAAACTTTTACAAGTTTTAATATAAAATTACAAGTCTATATGTTAAAAAGAAAAATTTTCAATTCTCATGCTTAGAATTTTATAATTTTATTGTAATGTGTGATAGTGGGTGCAAACTGCATATTTTATTTGCCAAGATCAAAATATCTATAATTCTATATTTTAATTCCTAATTTCGAATTTAAGAACAATATTTTATTATTGAATTGAGTATATGTTCATATATTATATATATATCCTAAAAACTTTATAATTACTAATCGTGCACTAATTATGTCTTTAAATTAATTTGTTTTCTTGTAAACAATAGTAGCTTTACATGGATATTGAAAAATCTTTGATATATGTGTGTTCGAGAATGTAAGAATACTCCCAGCTCATTAGACATCTGGAAAGCTCGAGATAAGAGTTCCGGAAAAAGTAAACCCTTGATTATCTAAACAAAATAATTCATAAACATATCCGGCAAGAATATGCGATCAAGAGTCTAAATAAACACGTCATAAAACATGCGGCGAGAAATCCGACGCGACCACGCCATAAAGTATCAATCGACGATCCATCGACGACAAGCCATAATACTTCTGGCATTATCGAGTCATAAAAGTATAAGCAAAAATCACCTCGTCTGACATCCGAAAAAGGGATATTAAAGGCAACACTGCACGCATACGCTTTTGTCAAACCTAGCTACATGTGGCTCAGATAGTGAAGCGAGAACGCGCCAAAGAAGTCCCCCTCATGGTGGGGATGCAAGTAAGAAACGCTCTGATTGGAGCCGTCAATAATGAAAGAATCAATTCGATTGGAGACGCCCAGAAAGAGGCGCTCTGATTGGAAACGCCAAGGAGGCAATTCGTAAAGACCGCGCGGTGGCTGAGAATGCTTTTAAGAAAGACGACGGCAAGGCGTACCAGAGTCTCTTCTCATAAGAGAAGCCGGCAAGGCTTCTTCTTCAAAGGAACACCAAATAATAAGGATGTAGACATACACAGTAAAAGCCAATTAAGAGGCAAAGCATAGTCATATCCAACTCATATCACAAGTGCAAGATAAGTGCAAATAAAATCATACACTCGCAGCAGTGCAAGACAAAGAAAAGGGAACAAGAAAACAGTGGTTCTCAAAGCACAACATAATCATAACCTATAAGCAGCCGCTCGAGGCAAATTCAGCAAACAATACGAGGTATAGCCAGAAAAACACAAAACATAAACTACAAGCTGCTGCACAAGGCACAACCTGCAGACATCGCCAGCTGCCATCAAGAGCACAAAATCTGCAGAACTCACAAGGTAAAAGTTACATTCCTTAATAACGATAATAATACACAATATGCCTCACAAGGTAAAGAACTGTAGAGCGACAAGCTCACATAATCTGCAAACGCATAAGGGGCAAGTTTAGTTTCCACAAGATAGACTTACGAGGCGCCGTACACGGCAATATCTGCAGACTAAGATGAAGTGCCACCAAGAGCACACCTGCAGAGCCTTCAAAGTAAGCAATAAGACAATAACAAGGCAAACTCAAGCTACTGCCACGTGCTACTACACAAGGGAGCACGGAGGTTTACGACCTTGTTCTTCTACGTGTATAACTCCACCACCACGTGCATATAGAGGACCAGAAGGTTACGCCCTTCTACCTGTACATGCGACGCACATTACAGCTCTGTGGCAATAGCAATACAAAACTCATGAAACGAAGGCATTCAAACATCAACTAAAAAACATTATAATACAACTCATGCAATTTTCGCAATAAACTACAACAAATACCAACGCTATTTATTATTGAAAACATGCACTATCTTGTCTACTTACCCGCAATCCTCCCTTCCACCATCTGGGAGTTTACACCTAACTTTAGATATTTGGCCCTCCTAGCCCGGTACTCTATTTTTAGACAATGTTAGAATATGTAATTAAGTTCTGTCATAGAGCTTATACTAAAATTATAAAACTAATTTTTACACCCATTTACTATTCACTTCATACTATTTACTTCATTCACTAAACTTCTTTCACTTCATTTACTTCATAAATCTAAAAATTATGTTCATAAAATTAAATCATTAAAAAGATTAACGTTTTCAACTTAAAGTAAGATAAAAAACGTAGTGTATTTAAAGGATTAAATAGATAGATTGGATATAAATAATAAAACTGAAAATTACTTGAACTAGACAATAATTATAAATTATATATAAGGACGTAGTATAAGTGAAACGGTGTAACGAAGTCTTCCATCCGTTCATTTACCTTTTTTTAGAATGACTTGGATTCATCTTACCCGACCGGTATATACTAATAAAAAACGGAAAATTATTAAATTTATCTATATTCATTAATTTACAAATAGTATTCTGACTTGAGTATACTGCGTTTATATAGAAGAAATCAAAATAATTTACATACAGAAGTAAACATAAATAGTAAAAATCAATGTGCGTGCTTTGTTAGAGAGGGCGGAGAAGGGGTGAGCGAAAGGAGGGAGAGGAGAGAGAAAGAGAGAGAAATAATTTAAACGCACCATCTAAATACATACAAACCTGCTTATGTTACAATTGATTCATAAATATTGTATGTTGTTCATAAATATTATTACAAATAGTCAATAAATATTGTATTAAAATGGAAGAATGAACAATAACAGTTTCATCCAATTATATTTGATTTATAACAATTCTAAGTTCTGTAATGATACATGTAAAGATAATGGAATAGTGTAGACTAAAATTTAGTAAGATATTGAATTGTTGGACATATATGATAAAAAATTTTTTTGAAAATCGTCTGAAATATACGAAAATGAAAGAAATATAATTTCGTTATTAAAAGAAATATTTATTTTCTAATTCAGAATAATTTATTAATAGGAATACTACAATGATTTTATTTATATTTGACAATTTATTTTGTTTAAATCAAATGTTATTATTATTATCTTTTATTATAATATTATCTTTTGACTTAATTTACTATTTATATAATAATATAAACGAGTAAATAAATATATATATATATATTGATAAGAAGAGACATTTTTTGTAAAGTTCATTAAATAAATCATTAAACATTTATATTTTCTCAGCAATAAATAATTGTTTTTATTATCATAAATCTAATATTGCTGGCAAGCAAGCTTTCTTATTTTGCGACTAGCATAATTTACTTTATGTATATCATATTTCAATGAAATTTACATCATGTATTATTTGTAATATATATTTGTAATATAATACATAATATAAATGTATTATAGTTTTTTTTTTAAGTTTTTATTATATTTTAATAAAAATAAAAACATAAATATAAAGTAAGATTACAAAAATAGAAATCTACAAATGATATACATTTTACTAATATATATAATAGTATGTACTATAGATATATTAACTATCAAATACATATTTTCTTATTTATGTATATATAAATGGGAGGAGATGTCAATAAAATTTAGTAAATTCTTATACTTTATAATTAGCTAAATTTGTTTATTTAAATAGTATTTTAATATTGATTCACTGACATATTTTAGAGCAAATATGAAGCAGTATCTGAAAAATATGTAATTTTTAAAGACTTATGTTAAAAAAAATTTTGTTATAAAATATTTAATTTGAAAATAAACGTGATAAAATTAAATTTAATGAAAGGCACAATTTAATTTGAAAATTTCAAAATTATATTACTATACGAACTACAGTATATAGCATTTTTCTGAAGAACAATGTTTTTTTATCTCAATAAACAGAAAAAATTACTAAGTATTTAATTCTTTATATTTGAATATTATCTTGAATATTTTACAAAAAAATGATGGTAAAAATATGAGGAATAGAAAAAATACAATAGTCATATTAAAATCAATTCAACAATCAGAATGATCTAAATAACACAGTGTTTATATTTAACAGTATATATTTTATTATATATTTCATGTATATTTTACATCTTTATCGAGTGAGTATCATACAGCGGTATGTGTAATTATTGGTACTTTTCTTACCCGTCAAACCAGCTTCAACATGTAGCCGATTGGTCACAGAACGCACCTATCTTAGAATCGTTTTTAAAGGGCCAACGGAAATTCCACTCTTCGTCGCACTCTTCTACTCTTTTACTCCCCACCATAATAGTTGGTCGAATTCTTTCCAATGGCAAGAGTCAAAGCAGTAGGGTCGGTAAGATTATGGATGTATCGTAAGTTGTGTAGTAGCCTCGACAAAGGCGTACTGATTATTTTCATTTAGTCGTCCACGGATTGCCATTACGGTAGTTAAGTGATTATTTTTTATTTTAATTGTTTTTACAATTGTGTTTTTTTTATATAGTAAGAATTTAAAATCGAGCAACACTTCCTTGGTTATTTTTATTAAAAGATCGTGCCTTGATCGCTATGTAATCAGAATATATGCATCTATATATTTATATATAATGTATTTGCATGCATGCCTATGGAAGTGTAATTTAAAATCGCGTTCTTATATTTTCGAATGTTTTATCGGTTATAAGAATGACAATTAAAATCGTTAGGTGAACGCTAATAGCCTTGACATTGAAGTGATAATGATTTTGTGATATTCATTAAAATTTTTAAAAAGGGTAAGTTCAGTAAAATATAATCCTTCATTTTTTGTTCGAAGTGTATGCATTATATCAATATACTTGAATTTACGTATTCAATTCCTGGTCCATCTTGTATTTGAACGCTGTTGAGAACAAATATATAACGGCTTAAATATATTTTGAAATTACAAACTTCAAATAGTCTTGTTGAATTATAATTATTAATCTATTATTTGTTCCTTATTTGATTTAAAACATTATATAATTATATAATTGTATTCCATGATGTAAAATTATATTAATATTGTTTTCCATTGCAAATTTATTTTAATTGTTAGTTAATAATTTGTTTATTGCATTTATCAACTTTATATGCCATTTAAACATATATATTTGTTCATATGATAATACACATATAAATATGAGTTTTCCATAAATTATGTATAATATTTGAATATGGAATTTCATTGTAAATAACAAATATAAATGTATATATTTTAAAATATATAACTGGATATTTATTACATATATATATTAACAATATTTTAAAGTTAATGTTTAGATTTCAGTAATTTTCTATAATTAACGTTTGCAGAAGTGCATTTGATATAAGGTAAATAATTATACTATTCAATGTAAGCAAATAAGTTTAAAAAAAGTAACTTGGTTATTTCATCATATAAACAATGGTTTTAGATTAATAAACCTAATTATACTTTTTAAAGAATCTTAAACATTTAATACAATTTTATATATTACACAAACTTTAGCTCATGATCATTATTATTGATAAGCTCAATGCAGTTTGGAATAAATTTTTTTTTTAATAATAATTATCAATTCAAATTTAACAATATTAAATTAAACTATAAAATATTGTTTTCAGAGTTACTTTTCAAAAATTAATAAACATTACTAATGAATACATAAATTTTTTTTTATAAATTCCACTACAATTGTATGTTAATAAGTAAAAATATAATATATGTATTTCAAATATTTATTACAAAATCTTTTACAACTTATTAACTTTTTAGATAAAATACCTAAAATTAAAGGTTAAATTAAAAATTAAATAGTTAAAAACTGAAGGAAAAATATTTTGTTCATAAATTTATATGAAGATAAAGGAAAACTTTTAAAATAACTAAATAATAATTTATTAATTTATTACATGAAAAATATCATAGAAAACAGATTGACAAAATATATATATATATATATATATATATATATATATAAATGATATGAGATAAGTATTTTTCCATCTTAGGGAAACTCTCCAAGGATGGATAGTGCAAAAAAAAATAATAATTCTGTGCAGGCAAACCTCACGTTTGAACCAAAGCGGTTCTCAATCGTATAGATCAATTCGTGACGAAGAACTCAGCTGGTTGGAAGGTGAGATTAGAAAGGCTTACATGCTTAAATCCTTTCAAGCGTAACTAATTGAACGTCAAGCGAACCAGATGTCTGCTGATATTAAAAAAAGAATTACTGATAATATTATTCGATTCCACATCGATGCTAAAAACGAAGAGTGCGAACATCTTAAAAAATCCAAACAATTTATGCCCACAAATAAACTCAAGGCCGAACTCGAGCAATAAAAATTTGAAAAGTACATAAAGCGTAATCTTATTGACAAGAAAAAATGCTTGAAAAAGTGCGCTTCACCGAACAAATGTTTATGGAGGCCTTCTTACAACGTGAATTCTTCAAAATGGAAAGATTCAAACAACGAGAATTGGAGGCTCGAGAAACTCTAAAGAATGAAAATTGCATAAAAGAGATAAACCGCAGAGCCGAAAAATTGATAAATCTTCGAAAAAATGCGTTGACAAATCGAGAAGAGTGAATAAAGGCCGTAGCTAAGACTCTCCTTGAACTTGAACGAGAAAAGAATGAGCGCGAACAACTGTTAACTAATCTTCTTGTTGCGGAAGTGAAATTTGATACAGAAATCGAGGCAAGTGAAATTCAAGTACATCGTCATAAAAAATATGTAAATTTGCTGAGGATTTAAAAGAGCACATTGATTTTGAAAATAATTGTAGAAACCGATTTCTTAAAAGAGAGAGGGAATTCGCGAAGGCCGTATGGTCAAGGTTATGGAGTTAGATAGGATGGAGCAAGCGACGGCAGAGGTAAAAAACCGTAGATGCTTTAATTTCCGCCAGGAGCTTCAACAACTTATGAAAGAACGCGAGTGCACGTGTATTTGTGAATTAGATAGATTACATTGTGTTTTGAAAGAAGAATATCAAATAGAATAAGTGAACAAAGAGAAGCCCAAAAAGCGAGAATTGTGTTACTAAAAAACACATAAATAGTGTAACAGACTTTATGAGCCACAAGTTTCTGTATGGTGAGATACGAGATATCGTAAAGAAAGCAGAACAAAAGAAGTAAATAACCAAAATCGAACCCTGCAAACAATATTATATATGAATGATACCCAATAACTAAACTTTATACTCTTATACTCTTAATGTCAAGAGACATTGCGCATGCAATATTATTTTGATTACTATTATTACAATTATAAAGTACATCATAAAGACAAAAAATAACTACTGCATGTATAAAATGTAATAACGACTGTTAAAATAAAACAGTATGTTATAAATCTATAATGCCATATTAAGCGATGGATTTATAAGTTTTAACGAACTATTTTTAAATGAATGTCTATAATTCAACTATCTTATAAACTGAGAAAATTTAAACTTGTACAAAATACTAATTATATTAATTAGTTAATTTACCGAAACCTAAAAGAGTATTAATCGAAGAAAAGATTAATTATTTTTATAATATAATAATTTTATAATTCGTCTAGAATATCTCAATTGAATTTTTAACGCAAATAATCAGTTATCATTCAAATCAAATATATTATTTATTATGTATTTAATAATAATTGGTAAAAAGAAAATCTCAATTAAATAGATAATTTATTTTATAACTTAAAAATTAATAATATTATTATTGAAATGTTAAATGAAATATAAAAAATTACCTTATCTAATCATATTCATTACTTGTTTATTGTATCATATTTGAGAACCAGTAGTAAAAATAAATAAATATAAATTTATATAAAGAAAAATAAAATTGCAATAAATCTTTTCAGTAGTATGTAATAGAATATTATACAATTACATTCTCAGCTTACAATAAAATAATATAGTTTCAAATAATCAAAAAATAAAAAACATAGTTTTACAGATATCAGTAGATTTACATAAATTCAATACCTCTTCAGAAATGTTTCAATAGTATTGAAATTTCCGAGGAAAAGAAGGAAGCAATTTAAAATTGTTTGTAATGTCTTTTAACTTTATCAGAACACTGAGAATAAGATATCTTTGTAAAAATTCATTTGACAAAGTATACTAATTTTATCACTTAATTTATTGTTTCAATTAAAAATAAACAGCGGCTAAATATAAAAATATTATTAAGTCGTATATACAACATCTAAATATGAAATGGAGTATTGTACAAACAAGCTAATATAATAAATTGATAAATGAATAGTTAATAAATAAATTAGTAATTATTATTTAATTAAAGTATTAAACATTTTATGAATTAAACTTAATTTTTCTAAGAAGCATTATTAAAAACATTTATAAAGGATACATACAATTTATTTAAATTTGTGCTTTATGTAATATTTTTAAAAATATTCTATAGTAAAGATGAATCAGTATTTGTTCGTAATTGTCGCGAAGCAAGAATTGAATAATACATTGAGAATTTTGTATCCTTTTCAAGTTTATCAATAATGACTTCGAATGACATTTTCCGATACTTTTTATTTAGAATGTCAGAAGTTATAAAATAATTTTTGACATTATTATTGTGAGAATATAAAATAATTATTAGCGACGGCGATATAAATTCTTGTTAATTTAAAAAATTTGTAATTACTTTAACTATTCGTGCCGTCATTTCCCGATAGTTGTAATATAGTAATATATTTAGTAACATAAATTACAATAAATACTTCATTTTATAGCAAAATTAAAATAGTGCATATATTTAAACAAAAATAAAAAATTTCTTCGAATTTATATTGTAATATGAATAAAATATTTTATAATTAATAAAAAGTGAAGCCTTGTTTTCATTATTTTTTTATTCACTAAACACATGATTAAATTGCAGATGAGTTGAAATTGTATTAAAAATAATAGGTTTTTTAACTTACGGTTGCGCAATGGAGCAAAGAATAATATTTTTTACGGAACATACTTATAAGGGTATATGTATAATGACTCTGCTGCCAACTTTCGTGGGAACATAAACGAAAAACATTAAGTAGCATACCTACGTAACAGCAATTAACAAATTAAACGGAAAAATACTATGATCGAATTCATTTCTGCATGATTTATTATATTATATTTTGGTAACTATTTCCAGATTTATTATGTAGATAATAATCAGTATTTATTTTTCGCCATATTAATAATTTAGTAAACGATTTATGAATTATGATTTTTTAAATTATTTTTATTATTATTTTATTATATTTGGTTTATGTTCCATTTTTTATGTATATTTGAACTCATAATGGTAATGTGACTAGCTATGTGGTAACTCATTTTAGTATTATTAGTCATAGTTAGGTTAAAACTATGATTTATATTCTACACATGCCTCCCTTTATAAACATATTCACCTTAAATTATTGATTACATATATTTTCACCCCTGTACTATTTTAACCTTCATTGAATGGAATACATTTTTTATATTTTCGATTTTTATTTTTAAGGTCTTTTTGAAAATTTTTGAAAATTATATAAGAGTAATTTGTTAAAATTTGCATATATTTTCTTTTCTATAAAATATGAAGGTGTATAAAATTGTAAATATTATGAATTATGTAAAATTTTCAATTTTTAAAAGTAATATATGTAAAATAAATAAACCTTTTACTTATTAAATATATTATTTTTAAATTATTTTGTAAATCATTCAAATTTTAATGTGAATAAATGAAGTTACTATGTATATATATATTCTTTTAATAAATATTCAAATTATACAAGTTATTTATAATAATTTTAAAATAATTTTACAATATATCAAAAAACAATTTAAAAAATTAACTGTCATTAAAAATATGTCAATAAATTATTTTAAATATCTATAAGAATGACTTATCTATAATTAAACATAAAAATGATTAAAATTCAATGAATAATAGAGTCTGCTATATCGCAAAAATTTCGCATGAACAAATTTTGCACTAGTTTAAAACTATTTGAAACAAGCTATTACTTGGATTAGAGGTTTTTTCATTACTAATGTATAATTGATATTCCATATTGTTATAACACTTTTTATCATAATTATTTTTGACCTATTTTTGTTTCTAATTTTTTTATTTTTTTTTATTATTGCCTAATGTATTTCATTATAAATAATAACAATAATCGAAACCGAAATTGCAATAATTTAATTGTATAAAAAACATTTCTAAAGTTTTAAACTCTGTAATTCTTTATATATTATGGTAATCTTTTTATAACTAGTAATTAATATTAATATAAATTTGCCCTTTATCAATCTTGTCGGAAAGTATCTCGTTTTTAATTACGTTGTGGCTTTTTATCTATCGAATAAAAATAAAATTCAGGCAATTATATAAAAGAATATTATTAAATTATTCGTTCGTTTATTGTTTAATTTTAGTTCTTTTATTAAAAATGCCTTGAAATGCAGTATGTGTCTTGTGCTGATAAGTTTAGTTACCAATTTATTTATTCAATACATTCATACAATGTATACGATCTTAGAAACATTACATAGCATCTTTAAAAAAAACCACAGTCAATTGAAGTGCATGTAATCATTATTCCGCTTTGATGAAGTACGCAACAAACGCTTAAAAAACGATACTATTACGCATTCATAACGAGAGAATGAAACATAAATATACTGTTCACACGCATTGAAAGGAAGTTCATTACCTCTACCCTATCTGTTCAATTGAAATACTCTCTTATGGATCGTCAATGGAGTATCTTGGCAGTATTGCCTAGTTTTAGAAAGTTGACTCACTTTCGATCATTTAAATCATTGGAACTTCCTCGCTAGCAAACTATTTAAACAGAAAATGTATCCGTTATCTTTTTAATTCCGAATAACATGCTGTAGCGATTAAATTTCTTTTATCGATGAATTACTTTCTTCGGTAGGCTAAGTTTTTTTTCCTGCGCCACACCTGTTCAGGTACACCGTTTGATGAACCAAACATTGCATCTTCAAACTTAGCTATGTTATTCGAAAAGCTTAGTGTCAAATAATGTATTTTTCCACTCAAATTTTATAATTTACTTAAGTTTATATGTTTCTATCAATTGATTCAATGTTAATTATTTTGATTCTATATGATATTTTTTCTTTTATTGTATATTTCATTTTTGGTTTCTGTATTGTCAGTTTTATAACTTCTTTTATATATAACTATTTTTGCAGTATTTTTATTAATGTATATAATCTTATTTCAAATTATATAATGTATTTTTTCTTTATGTATGATAGTCACTTTTTATTTACTTTATATGGTGTCTATTATCTATATATGTGTCTATCAAATTTCAAATTCAAATTTATTTTGGTTATTATTTTGTCTCAAAGAAAATGTCAAGCCTGATAAAACTAAAGTAAAATATAGTTTTTCGTTTATTTTTTCAATACTTCGGTTATTATTTTTTTATATGTAATAGTAATCACCTAGGTAAGTTTGTATCTCATTAAAATTATATTATATTATATTATATATATATTTTTTTTTCTTCTGTTTTAGCAAGTACAGAACTATTGTTTCTTTTTACTATTATTTTTTTATAAATAATTAATTGTATTAATATCAAACAACCTTCATTATTTTATATTTCTCATCTAATTACATTTTTTACAAATAAAAATCTTATATTGTAAATTGCATTTTAATACTATATTATTATATTATAAAATTATATATTTAAAAAATTTACTATTATATATATTTTATACTTGTATTTTTTGTATTTTTTTTTATTTCACCAATTAATATACCTTTATATGTAATCAATTATAGTCACGTGTAAAATACGAACATGTTATTTACTGAGAGTTTTTTTTCGCTAATCTATTACATTATGTTATTTATCCTTTTTTATATATATCTAATCAGTCCTTTCACTATACAGATGTCGAGTCAATCTGAATTTATTCAATTTAATATTTCAATTATATAATACTTCATGCTGTTTAATTTTCATAAAAGAAACTTGCTTTTTTCTTTTTATTATATCATAAGTTTTAATTTTAATTTTTATTTTATTTTACTGTAACATATTTTACTGAAAATTTGTTTCTTTTTTAAATATTTTTTCTTTTATTGTGTTTTATTGGCAAGGTCTTATACTTGATTAGATTTCATAAGGAAACTATATTTTAATTTAATGAATATGGTTTCTAAAATATTTAATGACTATTATATTTTTATTTTTTTAACTATTTTTATTTTTGATAAAAATGTAAATAAGTAATCTATAAATTTGGACTAGCTTCTTAACCTACATAATTACTTTATTTTATTTATTAGCTATAGTGACTGAATAATTAAAAATTGTAACTGAAATTTCGATTCCATTCTAATATTCAAAAAAAATTCTTGTCAGTATTTTTTTAAATTTACAAAAGCTATTTATATATAACTTTAAGTAATTCACTTTTTTACATGTTACATGAAATATAATGTAAGGGCTTGCTTTTTAAAGACAATAATTTAAAACAAAAATAAAGAAAATTATATTTTGCTATTATTTAATTAATTAATATAATTTATTAATATAGAAATTTATAAATAAAAATGCAATTTCTTTCAAATCTCACTGATACAAACTTTACAGTATAAGTGTAGTTAGTGATCTAATGATTATCCCATTTTCTACTTATTGCGCAGTCTTGAAAATATGTATATCTTTATAGAATACCTTAATATATTTATGTATAATTATTTCAATTTTAATCTTTTATGTCCTGTACTTATTTTACTTTACCGTATAATAACCGTATATAACTTTGTGTAGTACTGTTTTTCAATCATAATTCTTAGTTTTATTCTTCCGTATCATGGTGATTTCGTCTTTATTTAGTAAATCATTAATGATAGTATTTTATTTATTTTTATTCAAACAAATATTAAATATTCAAATTTGAACATATCGTAAAACGAGTTCAATTATTTTTATTTAAGATTGTGAAGACATAAAAAAAATGTGTCTAGAAATAAAGTCGATATATTTATTTTTTTTAGCTATCTGACTTCTGAGTTACAGTTTTTAATAAAATTTATCTGCTCCTGTAATTTATTATATTATATCTTTTCATTTTCTCTCGTTTTTATCCGTTGTACTCTACGATATTTTAACCACTACTTTTCCATAATGACATTTCTTATTGACGTGAATTCCTCTTTATGGAATACAACTAAGTAGATCATTAACTATATCCACATAAACAAGCTAAAGCATATCGATATCAAACATAAATTTAATTTAGGATTAGAGTTGCCACATTTAAAGATTAAATGTAAGCTAATCGTTAGTAAATATTTTATATTGTAAGATATATTTAAATTAGATGTAAGTAAGAATAAATGTGTTTAGTTTTGAAATAATCATATGAGTATTTTAATTACAGAATATTATTGAAATATACATATATACTTATTTTATTAATGGTTATATAAGAGTTCCTTGGTAATGGTTAATCCTTAGTAATGGATAAATACAAGTTATGATAAAGGGATATTTAGACTGTATAATGTTCACTGAGTTTTGATCTGAATATTATATTATATATTATATATTACTTCAATTGGTTTTTCATCAGTTTGAAACAATTATTACCTACTAGGATTTTGAGTTTGGTATCTAATCTAAGTTAACCTTGCTAATCATGATTTTGTCCGTATCCTTTGTAATCTTTGAATATAATAAATTTATTTGAATAATACTGATTGTTAATGTGAATAGCTCGATTTTATAAAGATGAGGATTCCGTACAGATGTAATGAAAATTGTGACGAGTGACATGATCATATGATTCTACTGAGCATCTTACCTGTGAACACTGTAATGCCACTATCGATAAAAAGTTCTTATTACTGGTGAATATTAAATATAACTTTAAAAAATTAGGAAAAAATTGTTTTTATTCCAAATTTTTTAAATTCGATAAATATTTTTTAGAATAAGTTTTTAATGAAATATTTATTACACTTCCAACGATTATATTATATGGGAAAATTCTGTTGATGGATATAATAATTTTTGTATTACTTTCTATTTAAAATTTTTCGATACAAGAAATATTTAATGAAATCTTACATTAATTTCAAAAATTTATTATTGATTAATACACCAGTATTTCTACTGGTCTAATTTGAGTTTTATGCAAATTAAATATACATTAAATTATTTTATAATTTAAATAATTATCAAAATAATTATTAATATGCAATTAAGCTGTTTTATAATAATTTAATTATTACTATCATTTTTCTAATAAATATTTATCTAATAAAGCTATTTTAAATTTATTAAAAAATTGAGTAAATGTTTTTCATTCAATCCATGTAATAGGGTTCTAAATATATTTAGAGAATATGAATTGGGATATATATAATGAATTTTTAGTATTAATGTATAGTTAAATTAGTCATAGTAAAATATAAAAATATAAATATAAAAATAATATGTATATATGTTATATATAAAAAATATATAAGTAATAAAAATATAAAAATAGTTATAGTATTAAATTATATATATGTAATGTATATAATTTAGTATTAGTATAGTAAGAAGTAATAATTACTTATCAACAAATGTTAATCAATATTAATTAATAATATGTATTTTTTAGAATATTTAAGGAAAGTTCATTGTTAATTATTACGGATTACAACGCCGAGGAAAAAAGCAAGGTCGAACACGGCGTCTTGTTGGTAAGTTTTTAGAGTAATCGAATTCGAAATTTTTTTGTACTAATTTAGTTAAAATAAAATTTTCATATTATAATTTATTATCAATATTTTATTAGAGTATTTACATATATTTCTATTGTTAAAATTCACCTTTAATAGTTTAATTTTATGTAATTTATAAGAAGTAAATTTTAATTATCGTGTAAAATTTTATTATAGATTCTTAAGTAAAATTTAAAAATTACGATATTTAAAAAAGATTAAATGATTTTTAAAAAGTATGAAAAATGTGGAAATACTTGGTTTAAGTGTAAAGTGAAAATCGAAAATTATAATCAATATATTTAGATTTCTAATTTGGTTTGGGTGTACGTATGCATTATAATAAGTAAATAAGTCCTAAATGTATGTTTTTAACAAACTTAAAAATTATTTTTGTGCCAAATGTTTGCAGCTTTATTAACAGCCCTTTAAAAACGAGTCTATTAATAGAATTTTTAATTTGAATAAAATAGTTTACTCTGTTTCTTTTCTGCTTCAGTTTGATCGCTCCATTACACATGCGCATACAAATTTTATTGTCATATTAATTGATATATTATTTATATTAATCCATAGAGTAAACCAGATCTAACGTATGTTACACCGATTATCCTCTAATAAATTGAATAATGCATCAAAATTATTAGTTAATTTAAGTATTGATATATTGTGCATGTGTGTGTGCACGTAAAATTATTATATAAATATCTCATCCTTTTTTGTAATTTACATATATGTTCATTATATTTATTAAAATTATTTAAAATTACTCTAAATTATATTCGCCTTACATACTTATTTAAAGTAAAAATTTTACAAAAATATATATTATATGATTATTGAACAAATCAAAGAATACAAAATAAAAAACAATGATGAAAAAGTACGTAATTGATGTAATTAATTTTGATATTAATTAATTAATATTAAGATGTAATTTTATTGATACCTATTATAATTGTTTTTGAAAAAAATTAAATGGGACATATGAGAATTATCATAGATAAACAAAATAAAAAACTTTGCAGAGAATTTTTTAATAATCGAGAAATATTCATTTGATTCGAAGGAATTTGTATAATAGGTATGTTAACGATATATCAAGATTCAGTAAGACTCCTTCAATGCAAAAGAAAATACAATACTGAAAGGCAAAAAATGTTAAACTTTGTTAGTTAACGACCATATTACTATGTAAACCATTATATTCTTTTTTTATTATTATTTAATATACGGAGACATAACTATCGTCGTATTATCGAGCAGTAAATAGATAAGAAATAATATGGCTTTGCTTGTAAAACATCGTAATTGTTTTATATATGTCAGAAAGTATTTGATATTGAAACCTAAATTAATTAATATTACTTAATATCAAATACAATTTAATTTTTATATAATCTTGAGGTTCTTTATTAGCTTCAAATTTATAGTTACGTAACTAAGTGCTTTAACTATTTATGTGCACATATTTTAAGGTTAATCTACATATCGAATGTTTTATTGATATGATTTTCATTTTTATTAAAAATATTGCATTAAACATTCTTTATATTTTAAATACTTGTTTTGTTAAATATGTAACGAACTTATTTGCATATTTGACTTTTGTTTAATTCTTTATATTGTTTTAATTAAATATAAATTAACTTTGTAGATAAATTATTAAAGTTATTTTTCATAAAGTATGACGGTTAAATTAACAAATAATATATAAATATCATTGAGTTCAATAATTAGTATATTCATCTCTTTTTTGTTATTATTTTTCAGATTCATATTATTGAGGCAATTCTTAAAACTCCAAATGGCCCAACTGGAAACTTTAGAAGCAAAAGTAAGTGCTTCGATTGATTTTTATAGACCCCAATATTAATTCAATTCTGTTATTTATGTATAATAAATTTATGTAATGTTATAAGCTTTATACCAAGATTTACTTTAGCCTTATTTAATTTCTTTTTATAAAATTTGATTTTTGATAAAATTATCTTGAATATATGTTTCATATAATATATTTTATGATTTATAATCAAAATATTATTAACAAATGATTCTTAACGACAAATAAAATTCTTTTGTCATAGTAAAATAAATACAATGTTTTAGTAAATTCAATTTTTATTATTTATAATTATATATATTATTTATAACAGAAAGATTGAAAAATTGAATTCAATCGAATAATTCAATTGAAAATATAAAATGATTGAATTTTATCTAAGTTTTTAAAACTGTTTTTAAGAAAAAATTTTTAATTGATTAACATAACAATATAGAACAATATAAAACTAATTTTAACAATATTATATAAATTATAAATATCTAAATATGCTAAAAAAAAAAAAAAGAAGTTTTGATTAAATATTTTTCTTATTACAAAGGATCACTATGTTTTCTGTATAATAAAGAAATTAAATTTAAATAATTTTCATTTTGTAATAGAAATATAAAGAAATGTAATGCATACTTATTTTTTTATGAAAAACAAATTTAATATATGAATGATGAAATTTACGCATTTAATGTTTAGAATTTCTATGCTATAAGAAAAAACAAGTACCTGTGCAACTTGATGAAAAATTTCTTTTATGGGGCAACTTGTTCTTTACGTCTTATTTACGAAACAATACCCAGAGACGTGACGTACAAAAGGCTCCGGAATTCGTTCCTCCAAATCAAGTTTTATGAAGATACGAAAAAGTGCTTTTACGGTTATTGATGCATGTATAAAGAAGCGCTGACAGGAATAGGGATAGCAGCTTCTAAGCTTCAGCTTTATCGACTTGTCCAACCGGTTATTTACGTTCTGTTGCAGTTTTCACGGACCGAAACTATCTACTTATATCGTGTACATACCTATAAGAATTTTCTGTATTCTTGTATTCTTATATATTTATTATTTATAATAAATCTACTATTAACATTGATACGCGTTTGTTAGGTTTGATATATATTTGCTGCACTAAAAAAATTTGATCTTTTTCTAAAAGATAAGTAATTTTATTGCATAATTTTAATTCTAAACACCTATGATAATTAGCAATTTATCTTGAAGAAAATTACTGTAAATAATTATTATTTTGTTAAATTATGAAAAAATGATTAATTTTTCTATCTATACATAATAATCAATAAATCAATAAATCAATAAATATTAATGTATTACAAGCTATTTCAAAGTTTAGAATTGGGGTTGATTATAATTGATTTTATACATTCATAATTTTACAAAATATTATTAGAAATAATATATACTAATCAATATTTTTATATAAGTTTCACGAATTTGATTTTTAAATATTTGAAAGATTTTCATAAACTAAATTCAGAAATTAAAGTTTATTTGTTGAATACACGATTAAGTAATAAAAAAGAAGTGGTATTGCGCCATTTTAATAAAATACAACATTTATAGCATAGATAAAACTATACGGTGGTTTATAAAGAAATTTAAATTTAATAGAAAATAAATATGATCTTAGTATACCATGTTTTTTTATCTGGTAAATACTTCTTTACACATTTAGTAACACATGATACAATTTGATAATATCTAACAATTTTTTAAAACTATACATTTTATAATTTTACTTGTTATTGCGAAAATAAGAATAAGATTACATTTACAATTAAAAATATAGCTAAAACATTATGTAGTGAATTCACAATAACTGTCAAATTATATATATACTTACATAATGCCCTTGCTATTATGTAATTTACTCAAATATTTTTCTACTTCTGTATATGACCAACAAAACTTATTAGGCAATTTTTTATTAAAAGGAAATTTTTAATAATTAACATAATTAAGTTGATCGATACCTTTTTATTGTAGATTTTAACCATTGTTATTGTAAAAATTAACATTTTTCTTTCGCTTATAATTATTATAAATATGTATTAGAAATGTCAGTGTAAAAAAGAAAATTTTTTTTAAAATGTACCGATAATTTCTAATATTTCATATTTACATTATAATAGAGAAAATTGAAACTTTATTAATAGTATAAAATATATTGATGAACGAACGTAAAGAAATAGTTTTAACCTTCTTATCAGCCGAATGACAATTAATTAATATAAAGAAAAGAAAAACTTTTATCTAAAAAATTTGTATTTAAACAACTTTTTTTAATGATAAATTATACTATTCAATATAAGTTTAAACCTTAATCAGTTGGACAATCTTAGTAAAGAAAAAAATGATAAAATTAACAATTGTATTATCAAACTCACAAAAATGACGGAAGGAGAAGAAACAAGTGTTCCTACGTAGACATGCTGTCCTGCTACAAAATGTCGTACAAATAATAAGAGAGAGCAATAGAGAATATGCGCATGAGTAAGAGATAAACTGTATAATTAAATCAAGTCAATCCTTACAAACAAATTTCACTACATGTTGATAAAAACAGGTAAAATCAATTACAAAGCTTCCAAAGAATTCTTACTCATAACATTGTGCTGCTACATCTGGTAACTTTGTAAAACACCATTTGCAGATTTAATATCTTTAGTTCAATTAATTTTTCTCTTTGTCTGCTATGTCTGCTACTAGTTTTCAAATAATACACTACTTTATTCTGATAATCTCTTATAAATAAAAAATATTTATGCGGTTCCATTAAAACATTTATTTATATTTACAACGACTGTATTCCATGAAAGGTTAATGTTCTCCTGTATACTTGGATTAACTCTTATAAAGTACGTTTTATCCTGGTCTTACGGTTTTCCTTTATCGATCTGTCTCGTTTTCTTTTTACACTTATATTTTTATCGTTGTAAATTGCAAACAGTTAATTATTACATATGCAGAATCCATATACAACTGTACTTTTCATAAATTTAACGTACATTATATGAAATGAAATATAATGAATAATTATTCTTGTTGAAAGGTTTAAATACAAAGCATATGTATTTTTACTACTATTAAAGTAGCTTATTAAATAATGTATGTTTCTCACACAATAATGTTAAAAATTTTTAATTTATGTTTATATTTATATTGGTAATCATACATTAATAATATTTATATGACACCAATTTAATGTTATAAAAAAAAGAAAGAATTACATACATAATATATAAAAATTAAAATATGAATGTTGAAGGTTTATAACTTTATTAATAATAAAAGTTAATTTAATGAATGAAACTTAAATATGAGAATTTTTTATACGTATAACGTATTAATAAAAAAATTAATATAGAATAATTTTGAAAACTTGTTACATAAAAACTTTAATATAGCTAGTACAATTTCCTTATACAAGTTAAATATATTTAAATTAGTTGTAAATATTGAAAAATTGAAAAATAATTATAGTAAACAATACAAAACTAGGTAGCTATTAATATTTTTAAAATATTCGTTTTAATACATCCAACTGAAAACATTCCCAACGTTATTTTTAATTTTTATTTGATGTAATGAAAAATAATATATTGTTAAACATTATTACTTATAAATATTATAAGATTTATATATTCTATAATATATAAGATACATTTTATGATTCATAACCTTTGAAATGCAATTCTTCATCTGTGGCTTAACAATTAAAACGTGCATAAATTATTTTCATATAATATCAAATGTACATATAAAATTGTTTTAACTAAATATAAATAAATTAAGGTTTTAAACAAAACGTATAAATGAAAATATATATACGTATATATACAGACATTACATATATTGTAACGTATGTTAATTGTAACTCAAAATCGTAAATTGAAAATCAAAATAATCCATGAAAAATACAATAATAAAATATTTAGTAATTAAAAAAATTTCTATTAATTAGTATTTATCAAATTTTAAGAAGAATTAACTAATTAATAGAATTAATTTTCTTTAAGACAAGCAATCACGAGTAAATTTACATTAATTAATACTAATTTCATTTCATTTATAATAGTACATTTTTATATAGTAAATAATGTTGTATCCATTAATAAATTAATTTTCATTTTAAATTAGCTCAAATAAATATTTTGAATATGTTTAAAATATAACATATTTTTATTTTTTATGCCAGAAAATTAAAATAATTCAAGAGATTGTAGTTGATTTTAGAAAACAGTGTTTGAAATGTATTTGAAATACTTTCAATAATAAAAATGAGAATCACTATACAGTATAAATATTACTTATATGTTATTTTTATTCTCTACATAAAAGTATTTTATTGTTTTTTATTTATACTAAAATAATACTAAAATATTATTTAATTCGCCGATTCATATTTCATGCTTGATAAATGAAGGAAATAACATATTTAATATTTAAATTTTCATTTTAATGTCAATTTACTTTTACCAATAATCGTTCTACGAATATTTCAATATTTAAAAAAATGTTTTGAAAGTACCTATATACATTATTATCATATGTATAAACTTCTTTTAAATAGATGGCGAGCATCGAAATATCATTATCAGCAACTTCAAGACGAAAAAAAAACGGGAGTGTTTCAGGAGGAATTACATCTCCAACAAGTCATCGAAATAGAGACTATTATAAAGAAGTAAATTCTTTACGTATTGCCCTACGAGACAAGGAAAATATTATTCAAACGTTCGTATATGATAGATGTATTCATCCGCTTAGATATATTGGATTCATTCATTTAAAGATTTCCATAAATATGTAATATGTAATATATAAATAATTGTTATCAATAGTCTAATACAAAAGCTTTTCGTTATATGATTAAAAAAATAAAATATCTTCATCATGACATAAAAATACTTTAAGAATAATCTTTTTTTTTCTTTTGTATATATATTTTTATTTTTCATTATATAATAATAAATATTAACAAAGTAGTTTTGATAATTATTTTTAATATTCTTTACGAAAATAATTGTCTTAGAAGAAATTTATTTAATTGTTAAAATTGTATACTTTATCGCTAAAAATGCTAAGTTATTTAATAAAAATATATTAGCATTTGTTTAAAATTATTCCAATTTAATGCAGTTGAGCTAGCTATTTTTAAATAAGTTTAAAATAAAAAAAATTACACTGCTAAATAAGTTTAATTAAATAAATTTATATTTAATATTTTATAGTATTTACTCAAATTTATACGCAAAATAGTTAAAAAAAAGTACTTATAATTATTAATTAATTAAAACTATAATATATTTATTATAGATATTGAATTAATTAAAAAAATTATTATATGATAAATAATATAAAATAACTAATTTTATTACTTTTATTATTTTTGAAATTTACGAATCTTTAATAAATTTGATCATTTTATTTTCTCTTACCTTTATGTTTTGCATAACAGCTTAAAGAATCAACTATGCAATAAGTTCAGCAACCGATTGATATTAAATAACAGAACACCTCCCTTAACAGAGATGGATAGAAAAGCAACTGAAGAACGTCTTCAAAGTCTCAGACAAGATGCTGATAACAAGAAACATGCGATAAAAAATCTGAAACTTGCTCTGGAACATCTCGATATTACTGAGTATGAGTGTAACTTTTTCATTGTATAAACTTCAAATGTATAAATGATTATACCTTGAAACAGTAATAAAACTTTTTGGTTATTTTCGACTTCTCTCTCTCTCTCTCTCTCTCTCTCTCCATAAGATGCTGATAAATAATATATTTGAAAGTTCTGTTATTGGTATATAAAATAAATTAATAGAATTTGTTAGTTTCTAAATGTGTGTTAATTTAAAATCAACTCTTTATAAACTAATTAATCCAAATTATATACAAAATCCATTAAATACTGAACATGAAAATACTATACTTAATTCTTCATTTTAACAAAAATAATACGAAGACTATAGCTCATTAAAGAGTTTTATTCATTTTTTTAATTTTTGGTACAGTATTATAAATACAGTATTATTATAAACATAAATTAATATAGTTATAAATATTGAAATATTTTCAACATACACAACGATTGGCATTTGTAAGCATAAAGCATTGTATTTCAGCAACATTATTCAGTGATAACTTGAAGACTTAACATTGCGTATTACTTTCTTTAGAAGTTATTTTAATTTGACAAGTTCAAAACATTTTTGGTTGGTTTAAAAAAAACTATTTCTCACCATATCCAGTACAAAAATTATTATAACCAAACAAATTAATTATAATGTAGATAATATGAAACAAACCTGAAAATTTCATTAAATATCTCTTAATTAAATTTAAATATCCTATACGATTTATTTATTAAAAAATTTAATTTTTTATCTGAAATGAATGTTTTCTAATTAAATATTTGCTTCATTTGCCATTTAACAATAAGAAACTAAATATCATTTTGTATTGCAGTAATATCGATGTTCGAATTCAACAAGCAGAACTTGAATACAGACTGGGTAGAGAAGAACTAGAACTATTAACATTGCGAGAAGAAAGTAGAACTTTGCAAGCTACTTTAGAATTGGCGAAAACTCGAGAAAAACAAAAGAATGATACTGTTTTTAGGTATTAACAATTAAAATATAAATATTTGAAATTTTGATTGACTAAATAGATTTATAATTAAATGTAATGATATTTTTATTTGATCAATGTCTTAATATCAATACAACATTTGAATGTTAAAATTTCATTTGCATAATTGATTTTGTTGTATGTTATTAATTCTTTAATTATTAATAATATCATTTTAAACCGTATAATAATTTTTATTTGAGAATAAATCAATCATAATAATATTTTAATAACTATTTTATAGCTGTATAACTGGTTCTACTCAAATAACAATACATGCTATAGAAGTTAGTGCTGATCCCAAGAGTCCACGATTTGGCGCAGGTCCACGGGAAGATGCTGTTGGTCTCTATATTGACTGGGCTATTGAAAATTCGGGTCTTTTCAAAGGGGATAGGTTTGTACCCGAATAACAAAATAATATTATGAAATATAAAAATAAAATCCTATAAAATTTACTTTTGTTAAACGAAACTTGTGATGATTTGTTAAAACGGTGATTATTAAAACTTAATTAAAACATAGAATCATAAATCTTCATTAATAAATTCTAAATTTAAAAACTAAATTATTAAACCAAGTAATAATTAAATATATTAGGAAATCAGTATACCTGTTTTGATTGTTGTTTTGATTCACACTAGAACAAACTTATAAATATATATACATTAAATATGTATGTATCATTAGTATGTATAATAACAATTAATTAATTGAAGAATAAAAAATTAAGTATTAAATATTATAAATGAAAGAGAATTCGATATCTTTTAAATATATGTTTCGTGATTGACAATAAATTACTTTTATATTTTTATATGCTTGTTTAAAACATACTAGCTAAATGTATTCGAAATAAATATAATTGTCTTCATATGCATTATTTAAAATTTTATTTCAAATATAACCTATAGCGTTATTATACCATATTATTTTAATTGTTTCAAATGACACGTTAAGACTTGCAAATTAAGTCCTTATTGGTATAAATATCCTTTGAAATTTGTATTAACTTTTAGATTTTATGTCGAATATTAATATAATAATAATGAAATATAAAAATGGAAATCAGTTCTTCCTCAAGGAGCTATGGTATTGCACATTCGTAAATCAACGAATTCGAAAACAGAAATTTTATTTGCGTTCTTACATACTAAAATAAAAATCTGAAGTATGAATATCAACAAGAATAGAGTGTCTGAGCACAGGAAAAAAAGGCAACGAAGATGTATCATTTCCATTGGTCACTTTAGCGTGAAGCAACAGTATACGCCAAAAGTAAAACCGGAAGTTCATTAGTTACACGCTCTAATTGCACCTACATCGTGTTAAATATAACTCAAATCTTCAGTATACAATGACTTTTATTATTAAATTTAGCCTGGAAACACCGAATTCCATTCAACATATAATCACCCTAATTCATGTTATTGAAAACTCACTCGATAGCATTTGAATTCACAGAACTATGATTACCGATTAAACGAAAATAATAAGAAAATAATAAAAAAATTTCGAAATATTTAATCTATGAGAATAAATGTATATAAATCGAATTTATATTTTTATTTTCACCAATTCAATTTCAATTCACAATACAATTCTATTATTTTAAATTATTTTTTCTCGCTTATTTATTTACATTAATAAGAAAAGTTTAACTAAATAAAACAGATGAATATCAAGAAATATTAACATGTATTAATGGAATTTATTGTGAGTAGATATATTAAAGATTGAAACTTCATAACATATTTTCCATAATAAGTAAAATAATAAGAAGTTTTCATATCTATTGAACAAAATTTACATACAAAGTACTTTTCTCAAGCTGATCTTAATTTATGTTGATAAAATTGTAATAATTCAATAAATATATAAAACTGATTTAATTATATATAATAATAGTCACCGTATAGTAAAATTTATTATAATATTATATAATGAATAGACTCCAATTATTATAAAATATTCATATTATTCTTTCCTATTTACAACATTTTGTATATACTAATACAATTATTCAGAAAAATAAAACTTTCTATATTGATAAATTTAGTGATATTTATTTATAAACGAATTTTAACGTTATAAAAAATAACGTTTATCTTATTTTAAAACACTTTTAGGATAAAGTAATTGAGGAATTACTACACATTTGTATAATCTTACACACAGCAGTTGTTTATTTGTTTTTTTATATGGCATTAACAAACTGTATTTTAATAAAATTAGCTTAATTAATAATACGAAATATAAATTTAATTAAAAGAAGTTTTTATAATTAGCTTAGAAATGAAAATGTATATAAAATGTATAATTATACTTATTTTAAGCACAATTTTATCGCTTCTAGAATATTGGAAGTGAATGGTAAATTAGTCGTTGGAGTAGGCGGAGATGACTTAGCGCGTTTGCTTGCCGTGACACCTGATGCAGCGCAGATTGTTGTGCTAAGAAAGAATGAGTCGATTGCAACATTACGAACCCTTCAATCAGACAATCTTCGATTAACACATCGAATCAGCTACTTGGAAGAACACGTGCGTGATCTATTAGCACCTAGAACCGATATATCGTCTACAACTATTACTACTGCGTCACAACCCACAAGGCAAGATCATGTTCAGGTCTGATTCACGATCATTATATGAAATACTTACCTTCTTTATGTATTCGTATTTCTATTAAATAGTCTTTATTTAATTTTTAAAAATTAGTAATAATAATAACAATAACAATAACAATAATACCATTCTATCTATAATTATCTACTAAGACTAAGCAAAAATTAAAAATATATAACATATATTAGGGGTATCCGAGTTGGGCATTTTTCGACTAGAGCTGCGAATTAGAACTAGATGATGCAAATAATTCAAATGAATCATCAAATTAAATTAAAAAAAAATGGAGTCAATATGATAATCCTTCATTTTCGGTAGAATATATAATATTTGAACTAGGTACAAATAGATACAATTATAGATTTATAAAGTTTTTTAAAAGTATTTTAGCAATTCATGTGTGTTGGTTTACATATTAAAAATAATTTAATATGTAAAATTTACCTTTAAAAATTCTAACACACATATATATATATATATATATCTTGACATTCAATTAATTACAATTAAATTAATTGCTAATTGTTAACAATTATTTCATCACTTTAAACACTAAACAATTTTAATTTTTATAATTTATATCATTAAATTCTAGTACTTATTTTCTGTTCTTAAAGATAATATCTTTTAATACATATAGGTTTTTCAAAAAGGACCTCAAGTAACTGCACTTGTTGCTGGAATGACAAATTTAGGTTTCAAAAGATCTCCAGATATTCGACAGAGTTTACCTAATGTAAAAACATCTGAATATCAAAGCAGCCAATGTGATACATTCAATTGTTCATCATCGGAGGCTCTATTATCTCACTCGTCTAGATCACGGCATTCATTAGAACAAGGTCAGATCCAGCTGGCTAAATCAACAGCAAGTCTTGATCTTCTGCAACGGCATCACCATCAACTTCATCATTCATCAATGTTCTTATCATCGCGTAGATATACATCAAGAATGAATGAACAGATACATAATTATAAAAGTCGCAAGCAACAACAACGACAGCAACTGCTGCTTCAGACTTTTGATTTTGACTCTGAACCAACATATTATAGATTACAGGTAATATAAAGTGGTAATATTATAATAGATAGAAACAATAGCTGGCAATATAACTATTAAAAAAAACTTCTTTAATCAATGAAACATCTTTAATGCAATCATTAATGAAACATTCAATATATATTTTATATACCTATATGAATTCATACAAAATTATAGAATATATATTTATGTTTCAATATTCTCATTTGACGTCATTATTTTTTTTTCATTGTTATGAAATTATATCCATTTTATGGTAATTAAATTCAAATCTCATTCAATTTAATTAGTAGAATACTTATCTACCAATATTTGTGTATAATAAATTTCGTTTTATTCATATTTATCTTATTTATACTTTTTTATGTAGTCCAATCATTTCTTCAAATTTAGTGCATATATTTGAATTATAATATTTATCTTATTACAGATATATTTGAAAATCTAATCTATTAATAAAATTGATTATTAGAAAAAAGGTTATAAAATTTCTAAATAAATAAAGCAATTATATGCAATAATAATTTTATATAAAAATGAAAAAACAATTGAATTACTTTCAATAATTTAATTGTAATTGTATTTGTAGGATACACAGTCAAGAATATCAGAACACTCAGATGTATCAATGACTACTTATAATTCACAAGATTATAACGCTAAAATTCGTCCAATGCCGCCAAAAAAGCCTCTTAGACTTTCTTTACATCGAACTACGAGTCTCCAATCAATTGAAAGCGCACCACCTACAACTATGACTGTATCAAAAAATAATCATTACCAAGAATCTTATGCACCAGTAAAAAAATCAATAAAGCGTAACCATCGCGGAGATCCACCACTTCTGGATAATAAGCTCTATGGTGGACAACGAACCGGAGAAATTTTGATAACAGATCAAGAAACATCACAAACTTCTCCTAGAACACCTTCACGAGCCGAATCGTGTCAAAGTGCTCTAAGGTGGCCATCTCCTAAGCCTAATCCACATCTGGCTCAGCTATCTATAGAGAAGTGGTACTGATTTCAACACATGCAGATTGAATCTTTTATGAAATTATCAAATTACACTTTTCAATACCAATATATTATATATATTATATGGTTTGCAACAATTTATATTCATATATTAGAAGTTATCAGTTTAAATTTATATTTTTATTTACCTATAATTACTTATAATTATGGTAATGTAATTTGGATTTGAATTTGTAACTGATTTGAGTCAATTAATATCCAATTTTAGAAAAATGTGATACAATAAAAAATATTTCAAAAGAAATAAAATTAATTTTATTGCATGTGCAAAATTCTGATTAAGATAAATATTTAAAATCTTTTATATGAAGTTTTGGATATTTCTTTTTAAACTAATTGAATAAAAAAATTTTTATAAATTCGTTTTTTTAATTCAAATCTACAAATACAAATATTTTTTTGCATAATTCAAGATAAAAATTAAAAAATTCACTATTATTATAGTCTGATAAAAATATTAGAATATAATTAAAGGTAATTAAATTCTTAATATGTAAAATATATTTACTTTAATTAATTAGTTATAATTAAATTTAAATCTGAAAATAATAAATTAATAAATAAAATGTTTTGAAAACACTAATTTTTTAAGAAAGGTTATATTTCATTTTATAACATATTACAAATTATAACAACAAAATCATTTAATAATTCAATGAGAAAAGAAAAACAATCCAAATAAATAATATCAAGTAATTTATATAATGTAATTATTTTATTATATATATATATATATATATATTATATATTATAAATTATAAACGAAACAATTTAATTATTCAATAAGAAAAGTTAAACGATCTAATTAGTTAAGTTCAAGTACTTTATACAATGTAATTATTTTATTAAAAATAAACTATTAACTTATTTAAACTATTAACTTATATTAAAAAAAAACTTAAAAACATGATTAAATATATATATTTAAATATTTTAAATCAGTAAAATCAACAGCCTCAAACAGTCTACAGCTGTATTGTATTGTTTAAAACATTAATCGATAATATTAGATATCTTAAGTGTCACTATTTTTTAAACTTATCATATTCGATATTTCTACCTATCGTTATAGAAATATTGTATTTAATTTTTATTTATTGAAAATTAAACATATTATTTAAAGTACTATTAAATGAGGAATAAATATACTAGTCACATATTTTCAAGTAAAATTTTATTTCATTTTTAAAATTTTTAGTCCTTTTATAATCGTTATGATATATCTTAGAAATATAATTGAATTTTAAATTTTTAGAAACATGTAATTAATGAAACAATCATTAAAGGATATAATATACTTACATTATATGTATGGACAGATGCGTCTCTTTGTATATGAATAATTGTATCTATTTCAATATTCATATTTTTATGTATATAGAGATAATGTATTTAATTCTTTGTATGATATAAAAAATGTAAAATTTATGAAATATTATATAATTATGTATCGTGAATCGAAATAATTCTGTGATGCATTCAATAAATACGTACGATTTTGAAATGAGAATGAACATAAAAATTAGTCATAATTTTGAACATGAAAATCTATTTAGTACTTATTAATATAGGAATAATAGAGTGGAATTATGAAAAATACCTATACAAAGTAATTATTTAATAATTAAAGGAGTATGCAAGGAAATACTCCAGAGCATTTATCTAAGAAAGGGTCAATTATAACATGGAGCTGAATTTATATGTGGTAATACTATATAATGTATAAACAAAAATATTAAATCTCTCAAAAAAGATCAATACACTTGCTGACTTACGATATATGTATAAGATCTTAGCCGGTCTTTTCAATTAAATAAATAATACTTATTTTAACTACAAGAAATAATTATTAATCCTATATTTCTGAGCACTTAATATATTCTATAATTATTTGAAGAATTAATATGAAATATAACTGATAAATTAAAAAATAAAAAATAAAAATACCTACCTTTAAAAGACATAATATATAATTATATTGATGTACCAAAATAAGTTTTCAATAAATCTTTGAACTGTTACAATAGAAATTTTGTTTCCATTTTAAATATATTCATATTTGAAACCCTGATGAAATCATAATTTGTAATTATTATTTTTATAATATATGTATGCATTTATTGATGTTCATAAGTATTTGTAATGTAAATAATGTACAATTTCAATTTATGAGTCAAATAAAATTCTTAGATTATAATATATATTAAATAACAATAAATTAACTTTCTGTAGTATTTAGTGCTATATGACACAATCGAGCAATCAGACTGTTTAATTGTAAAAAGCTGTTGATTCCATTTATGACTCCCAAGTGTGTTAAGCCAATTTCCTAAAATGCATTATAATTATAAAATATTTACATTGATTAGTATATTAAATTATCTGTAATGTTATTAAAAACCTTAATAAAATCAAGTTTCAAATTTTCATCCATATTTATATTTTTTGCAACTCTAAATATATTACTTATTATATCTTCAGGAGCATATCCCATTACTGATAAATGCTTTAAAATCTGAAAAACGTTAAAAACTAAATAAGTGTATTGAAATAATGTTGAATTTATTGAAAACTAATTAACACAATTTTACACAATTTAGTGTTATAATTGAGAACATACTTCATATGCTTTAGTAATGTTTCCCTTCATACACAATTCTAACATATTTTTTACAAGTAATGGATGAGGTTCATCACAAACTTTAAAAACATTCTCACTTGTAACAGCGTTAAATCCATTTACTGTTGATTGTAAATTATTAAGAGCTTGACGCATATCTCCTTGGGCAGTAAATACAATAGCCTCTAAACCATCATCTGTATATAAAACCTATAATTGAAAAATAATTTAACCAATTAAAAAGTAACATTATAATTACTTATTTTGCTTAAAATAATTATTTGACAACATTTACAATATAACTTACGTTCTCTTTATTACATACATCTCTAATCTTTACAATGATTTGCACATCTGTTAATTTTCCATAGCGCACCATAGCACAACGTGATTGTATAGGTTCTATAATTTTTTCGCTATTATTACAAGCAAGCATAAATCTTGTCGTACTGCTGTATATTTCCATTGTACGTCGTAATGCTTGCTGAGCACCATCTGTCATGCTGTCTGCTTCATCCAATATAATAATTTTATGTTTTCCAGGTAATAAATTAATCTTTTTTTGTGCAAACATTTTAATCTTGTTTCTAACAACATCTATACCTCTCTCATTAGAAGCATTTAATTCTAGAACTGCTTCTTTAAATAAAGAACCCAAAAGAATTTTAGCAAAGCATAGAATAGTAGTTGTTTTACCTACACCAGGTGGACCAGCAATAATTATATTTGGTACATTTCCATGTTGTGCAAATATAGATAATCTTTGAACTGTATCTTCATTTCCAACAATATCAGTGAATACTTCAGGACGATATTTTTCTATCCTGTATCAAAAGCAAAAATAAAAAAATTTTAATTATAAATATTTTTAAATCATTACTTCTGCAATTTTTTGTACACAAAACTATTTAAATACTAAAAGAAAAAATTACACAGTAATTGTAATAAAATAAAGATAAATTCAACTATTATTTTATTGTAATAAAAATATATTTTATAATTTGAACAAGTTTTAGTTAGAAGTTAACATTATTCATACAGTTAACCTTAAATTTAAACGTATATTTTATATTTAATTACCAAGGGATGCTTATAGATCTTTGTGATTTTTTTTTAATTTCAAATTGACTTGGTTCAATTTCCATTTCTTCAGCGTTTGTTTTTACCATTTTTTATGTAATAACAAGAAGAAAATATTGAAAAAAAAACTGTATAAAATCTTGATAATGATACTCCCGCCAACTCGAACATTATGTATGAAAATGTGTAAAAATTTTATCGACATATTTCTACAGTATAAAACAAAAACTTTCAAACGTTGTTTTTATTTGTTTATTTTATACAGTGTAATATAATTTCAACGCTCTAAAATAATGAAATATAAATATTATTATATAAAAAATAGTCATTTTCGCATTGCTTTAAAATATGTGTTAAGAATTTCTAAATTTCGATATTATTTAGATATAAAATTTAGATTTAAATGTTAGAAATTATAGATATAGATATTATAAAAACTTGATCTAAATTTATACAACACTTCAAAGCGACAGTAATGCAAATAAATATTTTTAAACGGTTTACTATGCTTTAAGTATTCTTATAGATATATTCTGAAAGTAACTTAATTACAATTTTGTAGAATTTCTATATAACTACATAAAAATAAAAACTACAAAACATTAATTGTATTATAAAATATACTGATTACATTATGTAGATAATTTTTGTTTTTGTTTTATTTGGTAAGCTCAAATTGTTTAACTAATAATTTCATTATATTATTATCAACTCATAATTTTCAATTATTATAATCGCAAATTTTTAAATAAATGTGTGAGATATGAAGATATAAATAATAAAATAACATGTGAGAAAAATTTATAAAAATGAAAAATTTCTTACTTAGATTGAAATAAATTATATTTACAGGAAACATATCTATGATAAATAATTCTTTGAAATTTGTCATTTTAATAGCCAAATAGATATAAAATGCATAAATCGTGAATGTAATTTAATGTAGAACATAAATGTTTATTAAAATATATCATTGATAAATAATATTTATAATTTGAACAATTTGTTCAACTTAAAAAATTAGTCACCGTCAAATTTAAGGTACTCCACAGTAAAACAATGGAGTAATCAAAAGTTAATTTATAAATAAATATAATTGCATTTTAAAAAGTTTAATTATTCAAATAAAAGTGGAATATAATTTGTGGGTAGTAAAATTTTTTAAATTCTTAATTATCTAACATTTAGCGATAGTTGCAATTAAAATGATTTATATATATATATAAGGTTACAGAACGCCTCAGCAGCTCTACTGCTTTTTATAGCCGGGTACAAACGTACAAGCAGTTGTATTTCTGAACATAATTTAATATCATCTCTAGAAAACACCATTAACGCAACATAATAATATTTTAAACTATATTCATCTTTAATTATTGAAAATTAAAAATATAAATATAAATATATATAAAAAATAAATTAAATTTTTGAAATTCAGAAATACGGAATTCATAATAAATAAAGATCAATAATGAAATATTCCTAATATAATAAAATTATGCAAAAGAAAATTTAATAAATTCATGATAAAGAAAACTTTTCAAATATGAATAATATAAATTTAAGGTATATATGAAATGTAATCGTAATTACATTAATACTAAAATAATATTAATATTTGATTTTTATGTAGAGATTGCCACTATGATATATACAACAATTTTTTAAATAAAATATAAAAAAATTTTAATTTAATTATAGTAGTAAATATTTTTTATTTAAAATTATTTAAGAATGACAAATAAATTAATTGTACATCAATTTAAGATTTACACAACTAATATTTAAACTCTTATATTATATATAAAAGTATTTCAATTATCAATGATAACACAAATATATTTTTAGCGAATAATTTTAAGTAATTTTTAAATGATATACTTTAACGAATATTTTTCATATATTTTAATTTGGAATATTTCTATATCATCATTAAATTACAATTTTATTATTGAAATATATTTACTAATTTTATTTATCCATTACCATATTAATATATTTTTTATTTCAATATTTCAATAATTGATTTTAATATTTGTAAGTAAATAAATTTCAATATAAGTTTTTTTATACCTAGAATAAGAATAAAAACAGGAAAGCTAATTTTTCTTGAGTAATACCGTTGATATTCTTATTTTTTTATTAATAGTATACTCCACACCCTATATATTTTCGTCAATCTAATCATAATATAAACTTATGTTAGAAATGGCTACATTTAGTCATAGTTATTTGAAAGTTTCATAAACTTTTTCTGCTTAATCAACTCTTTTTCACCAATTTATATTTTAAATTTTAGTGAAATATTTCTTAATTAAAAGGCAAAAACTAATTTCATTTCACTTGAATACATCGTTTTTGCTAAATATCAAAACTTAAACTAGAGAGCATAAATCATGAATTTAAAAATAATTACAAAAGAATTTATTAAAATTTTGTTAATATTAATAACTTGATTCAGTTAGAAATTGAAAATGAATGTGTTATATAAATATACGGTACAATAATTACAGAAGTAAATAATAAGAATGCACGAGGGCGTTGAATAATTAATAGTATTAGCATATTAATGTATGAAAAACTTGTTTAATATAAATTTTCAATATTTGGATAATGAAAAATAGACTAGCATGTGTGATCATTTAAAAATTTTTGCGCGGGAATGTCCAAGCATACTAATAGAAAGACATATTTAATAATTGAAAATATAATTTATAATTTTAATTTCTACAAGAAAAAATTTAAATACTTCAACAAATATAAATTAAGAAAAATATATAAAACAAATTAAATCTGAATTTAAAACTTAAATATGGAATCAACAGGGTATTGTATGATTAAAGTCTATAATTACTTATGGTTAATGAAAATAAAAAATAGTATAAAAGTTATGGACACTATAAAAGATCGTAATTTTTAAATGAATAAAAAAAGTTTTTTAATATAGTGTATTTAATAACGTTTGCTATTTCAATTTTTTTTTTAATTTATTTGAAACCAACAAAAGAGACACAATTAAATGAATTTAAATTTATATCAGACCAATAAAATAATAGAAAATACAAATTTTTATACTTACAAGAACATGTAAATAATCAGTAAATATGAATATTTGTAACAAAATTAGTATACTATAACCGTAGTGGCTATTTTTTAAATATTAAGCATATTACCATTTACAAATTTATTACTGGAAAAGTAAATGAAAAAAATGCAAACTCAAAAAATGAACTAGATCTTTTACCCGTTATTTACAAACTCTTGCTTAATTTCTAAAATTATCTTTAAATATTTTAGAGTTTTTTTTTTCTAAACATTAAAAGTTTACTCAATTTACTCCATAGGATTTTTTAATTAGAGGTTGTAATTACATGAAAAAAATTGTATTATAAAATATAAATAAAATCCAACATGCTATTACTGAATATACAATTTTTTTAATAATATACCTATTAATAATCATAACCACGATACTTTTAAATCTTAAATGTTAGATATAATTAAATACGTTAATTATGTGAATAGCATATTAATCAACAAATGACTATTTCAGTTTGTATAAAATTTAAAGTAACCTAATTAAAATTTCTAATTTTTGATAAAAAATTATTTTGAAACACTAATTTAGATTTTTTGTTTATAAAAATGTAGATATCTTTTTAGAATAAAAAAATCATTTTTCTAACGACATTAGCAAATAAATTCAAGATGTTTGTAACTTATTATGTGGAAACGGACGAGACAGGCGGTCATTAATTGCTTCGTTTTATTTGCAAGATGCAGAACATCAAACTCTAACGTTAACGGCGATTTGGCTGAAATTCTTGAACATTTAGGCGGTGAAATGAACGATCCTCCAGGTGTAAATGATAGTAAAATAAAAACATAAAATAAAAAATATATAAATTGGTTTATTGTAAAATATAACAACTTATTTCTTAATGACAAAAAAATTATATATAAAAGAAAATATTTATTTTACTATATCATTTTAAACTTCCCATTTATATATTTAAAATGATCAATACTTGTTATAATTTTCTTTGCTTATTTTTACTATAAAAATAAATGAGGAATTCATTAAATATAAAAAATTATTATTTGTTAATTTAATTATTTATTTTAATTTAATTAATTATTTAATTATATTTTAATGCAGCAAAAATATTTGAAAATAATATCTATTTAACTTTAGCCTCATAAAATCGTGCAATTATATGAGGTATTCACTATATTAAATACCAAATACATTTTTTATTGTATAATTACATTGAATTAAAAATTATTTAAATAATATAGCGTCATAAATAACAATAATTCATTGTTTATTTAAAATTTATTAATTATTTATTTTAATTCGTATAAAATTAATAAAAATTGTCTTTCATTTTTAGTTTAAAAAGTTTAAATATTTTGCAAATATTTATAATGAAGTACTTTTAAGCTTTGAAGCTACTTTTAAACCATAATAGTTTTATATAGTGAAATAAAATGTTTTAGGAAATTAGGAAATTACTATATTCGATGTTAATTATGGAAAAAGTTAATATAAATGTTATATTGTATTGTATGTTCCATATATAATTAAATAATGTTTATTTCTCTTTTTTGTCATTTATATTATTTATATTATATACAATTTTTAATATTTATAATAGTCATAATATTATATATTATATGAATAATATGTATAATATTTTATAATATTGACATAATATGTAAAAATTTAGATAAAAAAAATTAAAAAAATTCAACGAAAATATACTAAACTAGTAATTCTACAAAACTATGTTTTTAGCTCGAAATTACTAAATATATTTGATAAATTCAGACAAATATTTTATATAAATTATCAATTTAAATATTTTGCTGATAACATGTTTACATATTTTTAGTTGACAACTTCAAATTAGATTTATTAATTGTTACATAGTATATCTTGTCATTTGAAATTATACATATAATATTTAAAAATATTAAAAGAAAATATTTTTAATAATTTGAATTTAAATTTCTAATTTTTAATATTGATAGTTTAAACATTACAGATGCTTTAAATTTCACAGCTCAATTGAATCTTATATTTTAGTTATATTTCTGAATTCCTTGTCTTTTTTTTAACTTTTTAATATAATATCCACAGCACAAATTGGTCCCCATCTACTTTTTCACGATACGATGAGGGCAGAACAGGATAGACCACAACGAGAGCCTTTTCATCATAGGCCAGATACACTCTGGACTAGACGCAGATCATCACCTGAGATTATTCAGAAAGTGCGCTTAGCCCTCGAAGAAATGCACGTCATCCTAGATAACAACAAGCCCAGCGCCTCGCTACATATTCACGATGCAACACAGAAAATACTATATTTGCGTTCTTCTTTGTCTGACTATAACTTCAATGACAACAAAAACATCGAGGATAATGATGACGAAAACAACAACGACGATAGCTGGTATACACCTTGAATCATCGAAATAAATTAATGATTAATATCATATGCACATTTCAAAGTATTAAGAGAATAAAATTTGTTTTATAAATATAATACTGAAAATAAGCAACATTGTTTCTTGCTTTGATACAAATTGTAATTTGTTACATTAAAATAAATACACAAACTTTTTTAAATTTATTAATAACCTTCAATTTTAATTCATAAAATAAAACAAATTTCATAATTTTAATACCATTTATTGCAATTTGTTTCATGTATTAAATACATTTTAATTTTCAATTTTAATTTCTATTTATAAAACAATATAGATTTGTATCATTTTCATTTGATGAACTAATTATAAATCTTATTTTTTTCTAATGTATAATGTAAATCGATATTTTTCCAATATTTTCTATATGAATTAATTTATTAAATTATTATTACTATTATTAAATAAATTATTATATAATTTTATTTATTTTATATTCTGTAAACGATAAGAAAATTTTAAATAAGGAAATGCAACAAAATAACTTATCAATACATAATTAAATCAATCCATATAATAAGCCCAACTAATTATTTGTGATTTTTTAAAATTTTGCTATAGAATAAGCTACTTTCCTATTTAAGATTTATGTTATATGGGTAGTTAGCATTGTTTTAAGTATATTCATATTTTGACCTTTAGCTTGAATTCATTATTTCTAACACGTTATTTTACGTAAATAATTGATAATTTTAATGATTTAATATTTGAATACATATCATAAAAAATAATTGTTTTTTCTACATTCATTTTATGATTTTGATTAAATTTTTATGTAAATGTTTAAAATTTTTATGTAAATATTTAAAAAATTTTAATCTTTAATCATCAATTTACTTGACATAAATTATTAATACATATAAAAATATACAGTTGTTACTTTGAAATTTTTAGGAAACTGCATAAAAATTAAAAAAATTTAATAATTAAACTTGCATAAAGTAGTAATTATGTTAACTTAAAATGAAAGTATTAAACATTAATAAAAATGCTCAGAATATTCTTTTATATGATCATACACGGAAATAATGTGATGAAGTGAATGTGAAACAGTTATTTTTGTTTATTTTACCATATACATATATATTCAATAAACGGTAGTAGAAAGAAATTTTTGACTATTTAAAAAATTGAATGGGAGCAATTGAAAAAATTACGTTAAAGGAATTAAACGAATTATCGAGTTTATATGAATCCGACGACTCCACAAGCAAGTCGAGAACCGGCTGATCCGGTTTTCGCACTTTCCTCAGTACCACCGCGTCCAAGATCGTCTTGCTTTTCATGCACAACAATGGCTCTTCCAATTGCTCCACGTACTCCTAACAAGCTCAAGTAATGATCAACTCCGTCTATTTGAGCAATCCCATCTTCATCAGCATCGACATTTCCAAGATCACCCACGTGTCGCAATTGATCATTCGGGGCTCCATGATTAAACTGTAATATAAAATAAATTTGTAATAATAAAAAATTTATTATAAATAAACAAAATTACTCAATTTATAGTTTAATTAATCTTTTAAACTTTTTTTATCATTGAAAAAATATTATTTAATTGATTTGATATTTGATAATAATTATTGGATATTTACAGTTTTTCACTGTTCAAACTATATTTTCTTAACTAATTACATGCACTAATTTATTCTCAAATTTAATAGTATTTTCATGAAAATTGAGTGAACAATGAGACAAAAATATTTAATATATATGATAAAATTTTGGAAAATATTTTATATAAATTCTGTTTATTATTTACTAGTATAAAGGCGACAGAATTGTAGGAGAATCATAACTAAAGTAATTTTCACATTCATACTTAATGAACAACAATGTGTATTAAGATCCGATTGATATTCGACTTTCATAATAAGTTGAATGATTTTGTTTTCAAAAGTTCCGATCACTTCTCTAATACTTTTATAATTCAATTGTCTATAGATTTTTGTGAAAAATATCACTTTATCGATTAATTTTCAATAACTTCTGAAGTAAACACGAGTGTTACTATATTACAATACTAAATATATTTTTAAACACATTTAATGTACATAAAAAAATAATCAATTGGTGGTAGAATTTATGTATATATAGAATATTTTTATATTATTTTTAAAAATCTAATAATTGCATGCTTATAGTAATAGCTAGTAACTTATTTAAAAAATTGCATATTTATTGGTATTGTTTTCTAGATTTGGCAACAATAAATAATATAAAATAATTCTGTTTTAATGTCTTTCGTAAAATACATACCAAATAAGGATTGAAATGAGGTCCAGCTGAACCACATCCTTTGCTTAAGTCACCTTTTTCATGTACATGAAATCCATGAAGACCTTTATTTAATCCTGTAATCGTTCCATAAATACGGACTCCGTTATAAAGTTGCTCTAAAGTAAGAATGCCTCGAGGTCCTCCAATGGAATTTCCATCTTCACTTAAACTTCTAATCTCTACCATAGCTTTAAGACCTATAGTCTAAAATATCAATGTTAAGTGAGCATTACTATTTAATAATTAAAAAATTTAACCTTTATAAGCAACAACACATTAAGCAATTGCATATTTGAAAAAATAATTAATTTTGACATATAATTAAATTATTGGAATTCTTTTTATTTCAATTTAAAATTATAATAAAATAAAATTAAAAATTAAATTATAAATTAAAATTAATATTTTTTATTTTTAATTATTTGTATATGAAAAATATATGAATTTCATTTAATTATTTATTAAAAATTTTATCCACTAATATTTTTAGGTAATAATAAAATAAATATTAAGTAATTGTTATATTTAGTAGAATTTAAAAAATGATTGCATACAGCATATTAAGTAAAACATAATTAAGGATTATTGTTCAAATTATAAAAATATTTAATATGCATTATATATTAGTGAAATACTTTTATTTAAAAACTTAAACAAATCAAATAATGAAATATGTGCTCACAGAAAGATAAGGTTCCATGTGAACCTCGTATAAATTACTCCTTCCTCCAGAATATCCTGGTAAACTCCTAATAAAAAGCTTCTTATTGCTTATCACTGTCAATACTTTATTAACTGGACTAGCCCAAGCAATATAAAACAACGAAATTTCTAATATTAAGTTTATGGATACTCTCATATTCAAAATTAAAATAATGTCTTTGTTGCTGATTATAAAAATATTTCTTTTTTTAATATTCAATTTTTATACATTTAATTTAATTAATTACAATTATACTTACTAAATAGGAAAGCTAACGCAAAAATATTCGTAATTTATTAAAATATACGTAAATCATTTATTTATTATTTTAAATATGTATAATTTTTCGCAAAAAAATTCGATCAACGTGTCTTGAATAAGAAATTTTATTTCAAGTTTTCATTTGCTCGATTGCTTGTTATGTAATTTATAAGAGGCTCTCTCATGAAGATTTATCAACTGACTGCGACCTGTTAGGCACTTTTACGCATAAATATATACGAAGAAGCAATTGTGCGAAATCGAAAGGATCTATGACTAAGCACATAAAACCTTGAACGATCGTGATGAGCATGAAGTATGTGATAATCTACAATTTAAAAAATGTGAAAGACTAACTATATTTGTATTCTACTCTATTTCCGGTTACTTTTTGTATACAATAAAGCATTTTACATTTTTATAGCAATTGATATATTTAATTGTAGGTAAATATTTATGATACAAGTTCAAAAGATTTTTTTAAATATTGTCCATCACCCTTTTCAAATTGTCAATCTTTCTAGTAAGTGCTGACTGATTTGGAAGTACATTTATTGCAGCAAGATCAGTACCAAGATAAATTTAATTTAACTAGCACTGACTATAAATGGAATCTACAACTCCTTAATTCAACTTCTAGCTTGCAATAGCATCTTATATTTCATAACCCAATTTCTAGTTTTTAAAAGTATTTAAATTAAAAATTTCGCTCGGCTTAATACAATGTCTAGAATAAATATCATTTAGCAAGTGAATTATACGTTTAAACTATTTTATATAAATTTGAAACAAAAAAATTCTTTGCCATACTTTCAAATTATACATAATATATCTATTAGATAATACTTATTTAATACAGATAATACAGTATCAATGACATTTATAAATAACAAGATGACAAAAATCATATTTATTTTCATTTTACTTTAATTTGTTCTAATATTCTTATTGTTGAATGAGTGTATAATTATTTTTAATTATTTACTTACATAAAATTAAATAAAATTTATGTTATATATATACAAAAAAATTATATAAAATTCATACTTTATTTATTTTAAAAAATATATCAGATTTATAGTAATATAATTATAAAAATAGTAAGATAATAACCTTAGTTAATAATAAGAATAATAAATATTCTATATTAGCATTCTGCTAAAAAAATGTATCACATATATAAAAATTATTTAAAAATTATTGTATATAGATAAATCGTCGAATGAGAAAACCAATTAATATAAGTAGTAAAGCTTTAAAAGAATCATAGTTCGCCATAATATTATTTTCATTTTTTACAAAAATATGTAAGTGTACACTATTTTATCGTAAATTAATAATAAATTATCTAATTAATAATAAAAATAACTAAATCTTACATCAGTGTCAAAATGATATCATTTGAACAATTAGATTAGCGTAGAATAAATAATGGTATGTCAGCAAATATAAATTATATTTCGTATTGTATAAACTATTTTTTATACTAATTGTTTATCGTAATTACAAGCTTGCAATAAAATAATCGAATATATTTATTTAATTTGATTATGCTATTAAACCAATATGAAATGAGTTATTTTGTGCGTAAACATCACGTTATAAAACTATATATTCAAATAAAATGGATCAAGCATTGAACGAAAAATTATATATATTTATATAACTTTTCAACTAATGCGTGGTATTATACATATATTTATATTAATATGTGCACTAATATTAAATTTCATATTACTGTTGTATCAAATTCAATGAATCACATATATTTATAAATACTTTCAAACTAAATGTCATTCACTTTTATCATATATTAAAAACTGTTACATATTTTAATTTATAAAATTATTATTTATATTTATTATTATTATTGTATTTTTTCATTATTATTTATAAAATTATTTATAAAATTAATATATAAAAAATTAAAGTTTTATTAGTGTATGTAAAAACATAATGTTATAGAATTATAAAATTATATGTAATCATTATTAATAATAATATAATAATTATAGTCAAAAGAAAAATCTAAAAATTTTATAAAATATATTATATAATGAAAAAGTAGCATGTAAAGTAAGAAATGTAATCAATTTATCTTTAAAAATCATAAAAATGATAATACGATAATTATTTATTAATTGCATTTAATAAACATTATAAGATTATTACATATTTATAAAATTATTTATGATTCACTTTATACGATTATTTATTCTATTTATTTGCCTCTATACGTTTACGTGATCATGTTAATCATTTATTTCAAATCAAATGTAATATATAATAATATTTATATATTATTCTTATTATATATATTATTCTTTTAATTAGTTATGAATTAGATAAATATAATCAAGTTATTATTTAAACATGAAAATGTATAAATAATAAAAATGAAATCATAAATAAAAATCTTAGTTATTTGAAAACTTATAAAATATTATTATATCTTTTTTATACTAATAGCCATAAAGCAGTAATATATAATAATTAAATTATTTGTAAATTTACCTTATATTTTATAGTAGATAATCTTATTACGTATTAGATAATAATTTTAGCTTATCAATTAACCTTCTCATTAAACCTACTATCAAAGAATGCATATTATTTTTAATAAAATTCTAATTCGATTTTGCCTTTACAGGAACAAAATGCATTAATAAACATTTATAAAAAGTTTATTAATTACAACAATTTGCAAGTGCTTTGAGCAGTAATGAATGATAATGTACGTGAAACAATATATTTGGCAATCGACAAGAGACACCGTGTTTTATCTGCACCGTATCAATATTTTTTGAAAATTTTAAGTTATAAATAAGAAATTCTGATATAAGAAATGATAAATCTTATAAACATTTTTAAGATTTTGAAAAAAATTTGATTTATGGATCATCACACAGTTGAGTAAATATTTTTATTTACTTTAATTATAAAAAATATGTGTAATTAACACTATACATATATAATATTCAATTTCATTCTCTAATTTACTAAAGCTAATTTACTAAAGCTCTAATTTACTAAATAAATACTAAATAAAAATGTTATACATAATGTTCAAATTATAACAGTAAACATTTTTATTAATTTTTGTTTATCAAATTTATCACATGCTTTATACTACGAATTTTTAATAAAATTTGTTTATTATATATTTATAATTACGGGAGACTGCTTATTTAATATTTTTCCTCTATTCTCAATACTGAAATTTATGTATACCATCTAATGATGCCTGCTGATTTCAAAAGTGGAAGTTTTTATTTTTATTAGTTTTTAACAATATTTATCTATCATAAAATATACAAGACATTTTTCAACACTGAATGCTAAATGTTTCAGTAATTTTTATAATTTTTTATAATTTTTTATAATTTTTTCCATCTATCTTTAAATTTTCATCATTTTATAATGGTGAATATAAAATATAGAAACTGAAGGTAATTATATATTTTTGATTATTCTAAGACATTATTAATTTTTTTTTTAATATGTAATTTAATATTTGTTAAAAAAAACTTAAATCTTTAGACTTTGATAATAGAATGTGTCAGTAATTTTATAGGATCCTATGAAATATCGTATTAAATATCATATTCAAAAATAATTTCAATTTCAAAAAACTACTATTGTATCATTGGAAAAAATTATATATTTTGTAATTATTTTTGCTAGTATAGTTTTTTATTTTAAACAATAGTTACATTTAATATTTATAAATTATTCACTTTTTATAAAGATAACAAATTTATTTATTAAGAGTGATTTACTTTGTTGGTTATATATATCACTGTACTTCTATATATTTATATATAAATATTTTAAATTACAAATTATAACCTATCATTATATGAAAATAATAGAATTTTTAATAGATTTTAAATAAAATTTTTATTACGATGTAAGACTCAACTGAGACAATGTAAGTATATAGTAGTAAAGATCATAACTCTAAGAAGAGCGATTTAATCCAAGTTAAACAAACAAATATTTATTAGTTAACTTGATAAATGGCATAAAGTATCGACCTTAAATATAAAACGTGTTCATTTATATATTACGACCCTCTTAGCTAGCACATTCTTAAGAAGTGTTTAATTTGATGATTAAGATACTGATTAACTGTATAAAAGAACAAAATAATATGCTTGCTGTTCAGTATACTTGGTTTAATAATAGAAGTATTACACACTATTTAAACGATTTGGGATGAATTTGTAATCAATGTTCATTTACTACCTATTACAGCACACTAATGTTACATCACATTAATGATAAATTATGCATAGTTTTTTTTTAAATTAAATGTGATTTACTGTATTTAAAACATACTTATATTTTTTCGGATGTACCATCCTCCTACTGAATGCTAATACAACGTGTCATATATAAATATCATGTTATATATACGATACTTTGGCGACGGTAATAGTGTGTAATAATAATTAACATAAAAAGGGCTAGTATTAATTAAATGTCAAATATAATTTCATTTTTAAGAGATGTGTGATAATTAGTAAACATCTATGCATTCTTATAAAAAACATAATCGATGTAAATTCAATCAAAATCAAAGTAATAATCAAAAGATATCTGTTCTATTAGATACAAATTATCTTAAAAAATAACATAAATATCTAAAAATATAATAAAAATCCACCTTCCTAAAACTAGAAAAATCGCACCACAGAATAGGTAATCTCTTTTTCAGTATTAGTTAAATATTTAGATCAAGTTTATCACAAAATTTATACCACAACTTATTATCGTTACGAACCTACATTAGAACAGATAAAAATATTATTTAAATAAAAATATTAATATAACATTCAAATTGAACAATTCATTAAAACTATAAATTACTATTTAAAATTATACATCATAAAAGTTAATATAATTTAACGCAAA